AAAAAAAAAAAAAAAAAAAAAAAGGAAAAAAAAATTTAAATTATACCACTTGGAGTGAGGCACAGTGGCTCACGCTTGTAATCCTAGCACTTTGGGAGGCTGAGGCAGGTGGATCTGAGGTCAGGAGTTCGAGACCATCCTGGCCAACATGGTGAAACCTTGTCTCTACTAAAAATACAAAAAGTAGCTGGGCGTGGTGGCAGGCGCCTATAATCCCAGCTACTCGTGAGGCTGAGGCAGGAGAATTGCTTGAACCTGGGGGGCGGAAGTTGCAGTGAGTTGAGATCATGCCACTTCAGCCTGGGTTAAAAAAAAAAAATATATATATATATATATGTATATATGTGTATGTACACACATGTATATATGTATATATGTGTACATATGTATATGTGTATATACACACACATACATACATATACAAACACACACACCACTTGGTAGCAAATTGATTACAACATGTATTTTCTCCATCCCTCCTTCTTTTCTTTCTCTTTTTTTCTTTCCTTTCTGAGTCGTGCTGTGTTGCCCAGGCTGGAGTTCAGTGGCACGATCTCAGCTCAGGGCCTCCACTTCGCAGGTTCAAGTGATTATCCCTGCCTTGGCCTCCCGAGGAGCTGGGATTACAGGTGCCCAGCACTGCGCTTGGCTAATTTTTTTGGTATTTTTAGTAGAGATGGGGTTTCACCATGTTGGCCAGGCTGGTCTTGCACTCCTGACCTCAGGCGATCCTCTAGCCCCAGTCTCCCAAAGTGCTGGGATTATAGGCATGAACCACTGTGCCCAGCCCAACATACATATTTTCAAAAGGAAAAGTGCCAGGCACCACCGGTAGTTCACATCTGTAATCCCAGCACTTTGGGAGGCCAAGGCAAGCAGATCACTTGAAGTCAGGGGTTCAAGACCAGCCTTGCCAAGATGGTGAAACCCCATCTCTACTAAAAATATGAAAATTAGCCTGGGAATGGTGGTGGGTACCTGTAATCCCAGCTACTTGAGAAACTGAGGCAGAAGAATTGCTTGAACCCGTGAGGCAGAGGTTGCAGTGAGTCGAGATCATGCCATTGCACTGCAGCCTGGGCGACAGAGCAAGACTTCATAAAAAAAAAAAAGTGGAAAAGTACTTGGCAGCTATGTCTTCCACAGTATTTTCTTTTTTGCTGTGTTTTTTGAGAGACAGGGTCTCCCTCTGTCACCCAGGCTGGAGTGCAGTGGTGCAATCCTGGCAACCTCTGTCTCCTGGGTTCAAGTGATTCTCCTGCCTCACCTTCCCAAGTAGCTGGGACTACAGGCACACACCAGTATTTCCAGCTAATTTTTGTATTTTTAATAGAGACGGGGTTTCACTATATATTCACCAGGCTCGTCTCGAACCCCTAACCTCAGATGATTCACCCACCTTAGCCCCCAAAAATGCTGGAATTATAGACATGAGCCATCGTGCCTGGCCCACAGTATTTTCTTCCTTAGCACTTCTGTATTTGCTAGAGAAATAGTGTGTATCATGGTTGGCATGTGTGCTGTGGGGTCACAGACCAGGGTTTGAACCCTGGTTCCCTCAGTTACCAGCTCTGTGACCTCCTACAAGTGACTAAACTTCATTGAACATGTCTTCATCTTTAAAATAGGCTTTTGTGTAGATTACATGAGATTATGCATGCAAAGGGAGCATAGTGTCTGCCACATAGTAAACCTGCAATAAATGATAGCTATTAATATTTTCATGATCACATGAAAATGCCAATATTTCTTAAAAAGCAAGTTGTAAATGTTTTTGCTTTAGGACATTTAGGAAATATTGGAAAATACGAAATATTCCATTAGTCTGAGAAGATCATAAAGATCGTATACTATACATAATTTTATATCTTATGAAACACAAGTACCTACTGAAATACTAAGTGTTCTATATTTAAATATGTGTACTGAAATTTGGACCTATTTGTAATCTTTTTAGATCAAAACTTAAAATTGAAGACATAAAAGAAGCCAACAAAGCATTGCAGGTGAGTAGAACGTTTTCCTAAAGTAGGAAGGTATGCGAAAGTCTCCCATAGAAGCCAAAGCCCTGTGTGAATCTAATGTGTTATTAATGAACCCCCCGGAGATACAGAGGCAGAAGCACCGAATGAGGAGCTTGGATGCTGGAGCTTCAGTTGCAGAAGGGAGCCACTGCACCCGGTCTTTATTTTTTTAGGGATGGGAATGGTCTCACTGTATTGCCCAGGCTGGTCTCGAATTCCTGGGCTCAAGTGATCTTCCTGCCTCAGTCTCCCAAAGTGGTGGGATTACAGGTGTAAGCCACTGTACCCGGTCTCATTATCAATTTTCTGAAGTTTTCTCAAATGTGCGATCCCCCAGTTTCAATAAAAGTCACACATAAGGCTTATTGGAAACCTTGTGTGTGTGTTGGTTGGATGGGTTATTATCGACTGGTAGGCCTCACCGTAGAGAAATCTGCTGTGATTAGTGAACTATTGAGTACCCTCTCCAAATAATGTTTAGTATTTACTGGACTTTGCTCTGTGGCAGTTGAGTTTCTCCAGAGAAGAATCCTGTAGTATCCTATCTAGGCGTATAAGTCTAGTGGCCAACGTTCTGGAATTGGACAGAGAAAAATTGCTGTGTATTTGCATAGCAAGAGGTTCTTCCGTTCTAGTCTTAGCTCTTCTGGTAAACAGCTGTTTCCTTGAGCTGGTTCAGCACTCTAAGCTTTGTATTTTCTCATCTGTAAAGTGAGAGGGCTGCAGGTATTCATCTCTGAGATCCCTTCACAGGGACACACTAGGCTTACCTTAAAGTGAGCTTTTCTCACTGGGAGGGCAGCAGGTAAGTTCAATCGAAAGAAGTCTCCAAAGGCCTAGTCCCCATCTCAGCAAGGTTATTTCTGGACCTAATGTTGCTGGTTGCAAATCCTTGCCTTACAAGCATAGTTGGACAGAAAGGTAGGCTGCTTCCACTAGGTGGCTTTGGGACATTTTGGCATATCACTTTGCTTTGTATGGTTTTCATCACATTGGATTGGATTATCTTTTAGGGTCCCTTCCTGCTGCAGCCTTTTTTTTTCCCCCTCTCAGAGACAGCTTCCTCTGTTTTCCAAGCCGGAGTGCAGTGGCATGATCATAGGTCACTGTAACGTTGAACTTCTGTTTAAGCAATCCTCCCACCTCAGCCTACCGAGTAGCTGGGACTACCACTATGCTTGGCTAACCACTTTTTTTTTTTTTTTGGGTAGAGATGGGGTCTTGCCCTGTGGCCCAGGCCAGCCTTGAACTCCTGGTCTAAAGAGAGCCTCTCACGTTGACCTCTCAAAGTCTCAAAGTACTGAGATTACAGGCATGAGCCACTGCACCTGGCCCCAATCCTGCATTAAAAAAAAAAAGAATTCTATGATTCAAGTTATCTGACTTTTTGCTGGTATTTGTCTGATATGAACTATCTAGTTTTTTTTTTTTTTTTTTTTTTTTTTTTTTTTTTTTAAAGCCTTTATAGTCATGTGTTTTAAGGGGACTTAGGCTTCCTCATATGCAGTAACCAACACTATTATCTCTGCTATATAGTTAAGTGCTAGTTATTAAGACTGTGAAACAAAAAGACCTGAAATTAACCGTGTGATCTTGATCTATGAGTGGTTAGTCTTTTTTTTTCTTCAAAGAATCCTGCTTTTGGAAAAGTCTTTAAGAAAACGCCTGTTTTGGGAAATCTATGGGCCTTTTTTTCTTAAGACAATTTTTCTCTCAGGTGATAAGATTCCCATGCTTCAGTAGTAATTTATAGGTTGCAGTTGCTCCGTGTCCGATTTGGAATTTTCACTTACACTTGGGTTCATTGGTCTGGGCTGTTTTAGGAAATCAATCAGTATTGAGGCTCCTCCTTCACCTGGGTCTTCTCATTGTAAAACTGATAACCCTCTAACAAAGTTGCCTTCAAGGTCTTTCTAGCCAAGATTGGTTAAGCAAGTTTGTTAATAGTGGGTCAAGTAGGCTGGGTACAGTGGCTCATGCCTGTAATCCCAGCACTTTGGGAGGCTGAGGTGGGCAGATTACCTGAGGTCAGGAGTTCAAGACCAGCCTGGCCAATATGATGAAACCCCATCTCTACTAAAAATACAAAAATTAGCCAGGCATGGTGGCATGCACCTGTAATCCCAGCCACAGGGAGGCTGAGGCGGGAGAATCACTTGAACCTGGGAGATGGAGGTTGCAGTGAGCCAAGATCATACCACTGCACTACAGCCTGGGTGACAGATTGAGACTCTGTCTCTTTTCAAATTGAATAAATAAATGGGTCAAGTTGTCATAAATTGTAGGTATCAGGTTAAGTACTGCCTAAGACTACTTAAGTCCGTTTTCTACTAATGTTTACATAGCAGCTATTAAATATGTGTTATGAAAGTTGAGAGAAATAGCCATGTGTAACAACTTTTTTTTTCTCTTTTCTTGAGAAAAGGTCTCACTGTGTTGGTCAGGCTGGAGTGCAGTGGCACATAGTTCACTGCATCCTCAAACTCCTTGGTTTAAGTGATTCTCCTTCCTCTACCTCTGGCGTAGCTGGGATTATAGGCTTATGCCACGTAGCCTGGCTAATTTTTTTTGTAAAGATGGAGTCTATGTTCCCCAGGCTGTCTTCCTAACCCCAAGCAATCCTCCTGCCTCAGCCTCCTAAAGAGGTCCTAGAACGAACTCAAATATCTGATTTCCCCAATTTCCTTCCAATTTTAGGGTCTTAAGGTATAAGTTGTACATAATGCCAAACTATTGCACTTCACACAGTGAGAATTTAAACTATTGTTGGACAAGGTACCCCGTTTTCCATGATCTGCTTATTTCACATTGCATGTCTGTATCAAAACATCTCAGGTACTGCATAAATATATAACTACTGAAAAAAAAAAAAAAAGTCATTGGACTACTTTAAGGTTATCTTCAAGGTTCCTTTCCTGAAGAGAATTCCCATCAGTAACAGATTATTTTTTCAAAGCATTTTTTACATGTATATGTTCTAATACATACAGTTGTATAGAGAAGAGTAAATTGAACCATTACCCATATTCAATATTATGTGCAATCTTTTTTCATTTTTTAAATTTTTATTTTTTAGAGACAGACTCTATGTTGCCTAGACTGGTCTTGAACTCCAGGCCTCAAGTGATCCTCTCACCTCAGCCTCCTGAATAGCTGGGATTACCAGTGTCAGCCACTGTTGCCTGGCTGCAATCTTGTTTTTATTTTCAATCCACATTCCCCTTCCCCAACCCAGAATATTTTAAGGCAAATTCCATACATATTTCATCTACAAATATTTCAGTATACATTTCTGAAAGAAAATTTTTCCCATTCTTCATATAAATAATGTTCTTGGGGGAAAAAGTTTTCACATAATTTTTAGTGTTACCAATTCGAGCATTAATATTTTCTTCCCACTAGGGGCTGGTTTGGCTGAAAGACAAAGAAGCAACACATTGTAAACTTTGTGAAAAGGAATTCTCACTCTCTAAGAGAAAGGTAAGGGAGTTAGGAAGTGAGTCCAAAAGCTTGGGGTGCAAAAATGCTTCTAATTTATAAAGTTTTTTTTTTTCCCCCTGATTTCTTCTATTTAATAGCACCACTGTAGAAACTGTGGGGAAATTTTCTGTAATGCCTGCTCTGACAACGAACTACCTTTGCCTTCTTCACCAAAACCAGTACGGGTTTGTGATTCCTGTCATGCATTGCTCATTCAGAGATGCTCATCTAACTTGCCCTGAGACTCCTGAACTAAATCCTTATGTATGAAAGTACCTACAATGAATGTTACGACGTATACAAGGTAACCAGACAGCTCTTCTTAAGCGGCTTTCAGTCAGTATTTGTACCAGTTTTATCTTCTACATATTCAACTCATAGAAATTGCAAGTTATGTATTTATTTCTCTATTGTTATTCAAAAGGAATTTTCAACAGAGCATGCTTAAAAATCATGTAACTTCATTAAAAGGCCAGATAGCAGAGCTAACACACATTTGCCTTATCTTTTAAAGGCCTTCTTAAAAATAAGGCTTCAGATTGTTGTTCTTCTGAATTCCGTCAATTTGGTATTTGATGGTGCCTGCAATTCTCTTAATGCACTTTAAAGCTTCACAGTTCTGAGACTGGAAATGCGTAAAACTTTATTAATATTCAACAGATTTTAATTATCTTTTTAAGATTTCACCTATATTTATTTGTCCCTCTTCCCCCGCACCCCCTTACCTTTGCCTCTTTTGCATTAGACAGGGCCAATATTTTGTCCTACAAAATTTCTTCTTGGTCTAAAATCAGTTATTGTGCTTGATGATTTTCAACTACAGTGGATTAAATTAAAAGGGGCATTATTTGATCTCAGCCTCAACTTTTTTCTTTCTCATCTTGAAAGGGTGTTACATATAACCATTTCTTTTACCCGAGTTATAGATCTTCCCATATGTTGTTTCACTAAATTGCTATTTTTTAAAGGGGTGATTCAGACCCTAATTCAAAGATGAAAACTCAAATCCCTCCCCAGAAAAAAATGTACATAATACTAGGGGATATTACAGGCTCCTTATAGAGATCCTCTCTAACCATTAAAAGTGAGAAAAAAAACCAGAACTTTGCTTTAGTAATGTATTAAGAGTTCAGTTCAAAAAATTTTGTGTGAACATTTTCATTGGAGTAAATTCTAGGAAGCATCAGACTGTAGTGGCCTACCAGTATACATCCACAGTAAAATTTCACCGTCTATTGAGCACCTCTATGCCAGGGTGTTGAGATGATGAAACATACACTTGAACTATTTCAAGCTGACTCAATGAACACTAATCCAAGTTATATTGCTTATGGCATACCAACAATTTAACTTGTATAAAATGACCTCTGAATAGTCACATACACACTATCACCATTCAGCATCCTATTTTTTACATTAATTTTCAACCATGCACTTTTAAGTTTGTGAGCCTATAAAATATACATAGAAATTTTATGCATTAAGAGCATTATATTTAGTGATTAATCCTAGGTACCTCCCTGCCCATAAGGAGTTGCTTAATACTGCAGATCTTTTCCTCATGAATATATAGTTCCATGAAAAAAATTTAAAATTTTTCTAAACAGCCTAAGTATGAAACCAGTACTTCACTTGAAGATGTTTTCTTCAAAACCCATAAATTTCATCAGCTGAAGTGTCAGATCTGACTCAGATTTTTAAGATGGTCTTTCTTGAATACTGATAGAAATGTCCTCAAGACAGGAATTATATTCTTGAACCATTTTGTATTGATAGGTGGGATGGGCTAACATTTTTATGATTACTGAATAAGCAGCAAAAATGAAAATTTTCAAATAGGTTTTTCTATTACTGTGCTTAGAACAAATTTAAAAATGACTTAAGTTGCTTACCTTCCAAGGCTGATGTCATTCAACACCGATTTTTTAGTCACCTTTTAAGTCTCTTCACTTTTCAACTCAAATCACCACTGACTTGGGCTTTTCTTTTTTTAAGGCAGCTTTTATGACAGCAACTTGCTACCACTGTAGTTTTAGCTTATTTAAAAACTACACTAATTTTGGATTTTTGTTACAAAACTTTTAACAATTTGTATTTTGTGATTGTGAACTCATATTCGTTTTACTTTTCAAAACAGATTTAACATACCATTCCCTCACCTACTAGTACTACCACAATAATGCTATCATGGTGCCAAGGAATTATGATTGTAATTCTTCTAACCTATAATGTTTAAAAAATAAAATGTGTATTTTATGAACTAAATAAAGATTTGGAAAATACTGTATACTTTTATTGCTTAAAGATGTTAAAAGGGTATCCTCGGAAAATAAAACATGCAACTTTCAAAAAAGACAGGTGGTATACGCCCTAATATTTAACTTGCTAATTAAAGGAAGTGGATACAGCATTAAGATGAATTGTTGCTTGAGTCAAGAAGCTCCATATATATAGACTATCCTGGATCCCTCTCCTAAATCTTGTTAGACATCGTATGTACTACCTTCTACCAATTCGATTTAGAATTAGTAATTGACACGAAGCATTCTAGGACACACGCCATACTATTATCTCCCACATTGACATTTATTACATTAATATGATTTCTGGCAAAAACAAGTAACAAGTTCAATAACTAACTGAATTTACATAGACAGGTTTCATTTTGATTCATTAGCCAATTTGGAAAAAAGCCATTATTGATCAAAGGGATTAAAATTAAAAAGCACCTTTTCCTTGCTACATATAGATTCTTTAAAACTCCAGATATCAGATACAAAACCCAACTGCAGGATTGTTTTGACTATGACATGGACTTGATGCTTACATTTTTAAAAAAGTCATCATTTATTTATACAGTTATTTAAAGACCATATGTTCTATTGGGGAGAAAACTGCAAATACATTTGTGAGAATTGTACTCCATAGTAAATACCCAAGTACTTACACTGAATTCTTGTGTCACTGAGAACCTTAACCCTACTCTAAGACATCTTGAGATAACTTGCAATTATCACTTATTTGGTGATATTTTTGGTATTCTGGTCAAGTGCTGATGGGATTTTACTTCAAAATCTAGGGCTAGAATTCAAGCTTCCAACACTCCCATACCCAGGTAACACAATCATGAATATTCAGAAATCAATACCTCTTAGATCATCAACATTTCAGAGCTATGCCTGATAAACGACAGTTGAAAAATAATAATATAGAAATAATTAGCTGAATTTATACTCCTGAAGCCTCTTCATCTTTAGGCTTTGTATTTACAGTGTTGTCCAGAAGGAATTAAAAAGTTACACTAATTATTTGTCAAGCTCTATTCCAGACGTCTGCTTAAGCCTTGCAGTTTAGGCAGAGGTGAACCATTATCCTCTAAAATTACACCACACTACTTCTTGTAGAACTAATAGTAAAATACATCAACCCAAATCTTATGAAGGCAGCACATCTTTAGGAGTAACTAGTATATAAAAAGTATCAACATCAGTGGTTTGAATATAAAAATTTATTTTTAAGTCAAAGTATGCAACAAATAAACCTACAGAAAACAGATTTTCCCATCACAATCTGTTGCTTTACCAAATAATATTTTGAAAACACATTCCTTCAGTCATTATAAAGTTCTTAAAATACAAAAGAAATTAAATCTGTAAGAAAGTCTAGTAGACCAGATGCTGTTGTCAAGACTTGTATGTTGGTGGTTATGCTTTCAGTACATCCCACGCCATCCACCTCCACTCATGCCACCTTGCCCGTAGTAACCTCCACTGCCTCCACCACCACGTCCTTAAGAAAAAGATATTAAGAATCACTCAGCAGGAGATATCTCTGCATAAAAAAATACCTGCACTTTAAAGTTTACACTATATACAGGGACTGACACACTGAACTAGAGGTACTTACCATAACCTCCCAAGCCATCAGGAGTACCATATCCTCCACT